GGGGGGGGGGGGGGGGGGGGGAGAGAAAATAACAAAAAAATAATACTAGTCAGCTTCAATCCGCAACATGCCGTGCGACACGATCGGCCTCTTCTCGTTTGCTCTCTTCCCTCGCTGTTTCCTTCCGCCCCCCTCCCGCGCCGTTGATTGGCGCCGAGTCTAGAGGAGGCCAGCCTACAACGAATACGCCGACGATATCGCTAGGCTTAGGCTAAAGGGCAAACAAAAAAAAACCTAACTCTTGCCCGTCTTCCGCTTCTTGGCGCCGCCCGTCTTGCGCTTGCCGGGGAGGGGGGGGGGCTTCTGGGCCTTGGGGATGGGATGCTTCAGTAGAGCGTGCTCGATCGTGGAATCCTTCGTGCAGCAGGATTTCTTGTGGCAAACATTGATCGCCGACAGGATTGGGAGCCACCTGATCAAAGCAGTTCAGTTGTTCGCGAGGGGGGGGGGAGTATTGCCAAAAGGCTTCATTAATGTTTGATGGAGAAGGGTAGTAGACTGGGGGCTCTGAAACAAAGCAGTTGTCTGTACGTTACATATGTTGGTAATTCAATGTCTGTAATTAGTATTTGTACTACTGTAAACACAGCACGTAGGTATTCACCTCAGGAGAATTATCGGACCATTTGGGAGAGACCATTGTCCGTTAGGATATTCTTGCGTTGTTCCTAGAGGTCGGATTAACCGCCTGCTAGCGTGACCGGGATATTGCAATGTCCCGTGTGTGTGCATCTTTCCGTGATAGCTTGGACGCTCGCCCCCCGTGGTGCTCGCCCCCACTCGATCACTCCTCTCTCTTTCCTCTTTCCTTACCTTTTGGCCAACTAAGCGCCACTTTCAACCATCAATCAATCTGGTATTTCAACAAGTGTACTTAACAGTCACTCTGTGAGCCTTTGCATACTGTCTCTACACAGTGCTTGCCACATCAAGGGATACACCTACCACAAGGTGACATCCCAACAACATATTCGCCCAACCCGTTGCTCACCTTCCGGCGGTCGACATGGTGCAGCCGGGAACCAACGGGGCAGTAACCTTCGTCGAAACACCTTCTGACCATCTGCCCCCTTCTTCCTCGACGTAGAGCCGTCCATAATCGCGGTGAGCTGGGCACGACCAGCAGTGCGGGTTCCTTGAAGATCGTCGTAGCACTCCTTCCAGCACCGCATGCTCTCGATCGACACCTTGCCGTAGGTCATCCTGCTGCCGCCGTCTTTCCTCAACGCGGACACACTGGAGGCAAACTTGCGCAGTGGGGGGTCGTCGTCGTCGTCGTCGTCGTCCTCGCCGTCCTCGCCGCGGCACTCCTCCTCCATATTGGCGTCTGCCCCTGCAAGTTGGAGAATCAATGCAAGTTGGAGGACAATATAGAGGTAAGGATTGGCGCATAAGTCTATTGTTATGAATATTAATACTATTATAAAGGTCTCAAAGCCGACAAGAAGGGCAATCACAAGCAGTGGGAAAATGTGGTCTGGTCAAGTGATTTAAGGTGTCTAGTGTCATGACTATAGCTGTCCTTCCGACGCAAAGTCAACGCCTGACCGCACGAAAACATATAAAGGTAAAGGTTCGACACCTACCGACCCTAACATTCCCACGCAACCAAACAAACGAAACCCATCAAAAGGGACGGCTGTTACAATCGGTGGACCAAACATGGCCGGAGCACATGCAGGACCGGGGCCCGCACCGACGCCGGTGCCCAAAGCGAGGTTTCCCAATGACTAAGAAAACAAACAAACGCGGTGGATCTGGATACTGCTCATATCACACGGCGAACAAACGAACGACCATGTAATGACTAACGTAGCGCAGTGTTCTAGGGAACCGAGGATGGCGGCCCATCTATATTGAAGACCTAGTCTCCCACCGCTTGCACCCTGGGCGTCTCCAGCCGACGGCTCCCCCGTGGAGGCGGCGTGGTCGTGATTGCCGTTGGCAGAGAGGCCATCTCCACCGCCGGCCACTGCGCGCTCTAGTCGACTGATCTCGGCCGCGTGCTCGGCCGCCTTGAGTCGGGCCTGGAGCAAACGAATTTCGGCAAGCTGCGACAGAGCAGCGTCGCGCACAGCGTGCAAATATTTTTCAAACAAGTGAACCAGGGGGGTACGTCGGCCCGAACAAACGCAATAGATATTTGCGAGGCCATGCTACTTTACTCTTAGATACGCTTTCGCAACAGCAATTTCTCTATTTTGAAAAGTTCAAGATCCTCTACACCCGTGCATGAAAATGGGACAAGCGCCTACGATAAAAGTGGGACATTTGTCGCGTGTAGGTTAGAATAATGCGTGCATGATGATGGTACACATGGAGTGTGGAAGTATTGCGGAAGATGGTACATCTTTCGCGGAAGCGAGGATGGAGAATGACGTGTGGGGGCGTAGTTAGCATTTCCATCAACGCGCACACCCAAAGTAGACGCAACGAGTACGAAGGAGAGCTGCACAAAGATTGACCCTAGTGTCTGTCGACCAAAAAAACCGAGGGGAAACACTGCGGGGAAACCACCTCGTGATCCGGCACGCCCCCGCTCCCTGACCCACTCGCCGTCGAAGCCCGCGCCGTGGCCTCAGCGCCGGTGCTTCCCGCTGCAACGTTCTTCCGTTCCGTCTTCTTCTCCTCTCGTGCCTCGTGGAATTAATTCGCTTGCTGGAAGCGACGCAACCGACGAAAAAAAAATGATACGGAGTATTACATTACTACATGTCGACGCCTGGAAGGACGGGCAAAAAGGAACCTTGCGAAAAATACTGGGAGAGGACAGAATGGTGGAAAGGACGAGTAGGTTTGACGCGGAACCACAACGTGCAACATGCAACCCATCCAAGCACGGCCAGACAGGAACCACAACCCATCCAAGCACGGCCAGACAAGAAACACACGGCTGCTATAAAAAAACGTGTGAGTGTGAGGGGGGTCGCACCTGAATAGCAGCGGAGGCGGCAGAGTTGGCGGCGTGCTTCTTGATCGCTTTTCGCTCGCTCCTAGCCTTCTGTTGCTTCTCGAGTGCCGCCATAGACGCCCTCCACGCTGCCTTCGAGGCGTCCGACATCAGAGGCGTGCGGTGGCTGCTATCTCGGTTTTTTTCTTCTTGTCGTCCTTGATTCTCGCGGCTTTGACGGCGTGGTCTTGGTCTTTCTTGCTTTTCGGGGGCTTCTTCGCACGGCCCTCTCCCGCTGCCGCAGCCCCCCCCCCTCCCTCCGCCGTCGCCGAAGGCATGGCAGCCGCTGCTTTCCCAGCAGCAGCCGCGGCCACGGCGGCGGCTGCTTCTCCCCCGCCCGCCGCCATCACAGCGGCAGCGACAGCAACTCCAACTGCCGCAGAGGACGCCCCCGCCGTCACCTCCGATGTGTCTGCTGCTGTAGACGGTGCCGTCTTCTCGCTCTTGTTGGCACCCGGCGCCGCACCCGCCACGGCGGTGATGCCGC